GATTAGACCCTGAACCACCCAGTCCTGGTTTACTGGTCTGGATTAGACCCTGAACCACCTGGTCCTGGTTTACTGGTCTGGATTAGACCCTGACCCACCCAGTTCTGGTCTACTGGTCTGGATTAGACCCTCAACCACCCAGTCCTGGTTTACTGGTTGAAACTTATCCCTGGATGTCCCTCAGAGCTACCGCTTCCACAAAGCTCTGAAATGTAAAGGAAGTTTTTGCGTTTCATCATTTATTAGTACCTGTCCAGGTGAACCTGCCTTCACCCTGAGTCAGCTGGGATAGACTGCAGCAGAACATTTGGTGAGTTTTGCTCGCGGTTCAGACATTTTAGAGTTTTGCAGAAGCAGCTGTTGAGGGCAAATAAACCTGGTGGACTGTGAGGCAGCTGCTCATTCTGACTGGTTCACCTGGAAGCAGTGAGGGGCGGGGCCAGACAGAGCTGGATGACTGTTGGTTAGTTAGCTGCGAGGTAGCACGTGGTCGGATTCTTACTGGCCTACAAAGCTGGAGGCTAACTAGGATAGCTAGTGGTGGGGGACTGAAGTGAACATCTTCATATCTGAACAGTTTTTAGTTTTACAACCACAAAACACAATAAAACTAATTTTCAGAAAAGGGGACCTTTAAGTCCTGCAACTGATTCTGATTGCTGTTTTTCATCATGATTCTGCTGCAGATTTTACTGCGACGGTTTGGTTCTGAAATATGGTTTTTGTTTCAGTTGAGAGGAGGAGACGTTTCAACATCAACGATCGTATCAAAGAACTTGGAGCTCTGATTCCCAAATCATCAGACCCGTCAGTAAACACTAATACCACTGATACTTCAAGCACTACTTCTGATAATGCTGACACTACCACTGCTATGACTGATACTTTATCAGAGCAGCACCACAGTACTTCACCCTGATATTTATCAGTGCAGCCAAACAGAGCTAATGCGCTGTGATTGGTCCATCAGGGAGACGAGGTGGAACAAAGGGACGATTCTGAAGGCGTCGGTGGATTACATCCGCAAACTGCAGAAAGAACAGCAGCGAACTCGAGAGATGGAAGAGAGGCAGAGGAGGCTGGAGAACACCAACCGGTCGCTGCTGCTGAGGATACAGGTGAGGGCAGAACATCTGTGACTGGAAAGCTGTCTGGTGTGCTTCTGTCTGAGCCCTGGGCTTTCTTGTGCTTTGCAGGAGTTGGAGGTCCAGGCTCGGCTCGGCGGTTTCTCCTCATCCTCCCCCCTTCCTCCCCACTCCTCCACCCCTCTTGCCCCACCCCCCCTCCTGTCCCCCCCCCTGCCTGCATTCTCCTCCCCCTCCTCCCCCCTTGTGAGCCCTCCTCTGGGTCTGGATGCTCTGAGCTTCGTGGACCTGGAGGATCCTCAGGGGGCGTCGGCGGTCTTCTCCCCAGACCTGCTACCGGGTCTGGGTGGGCTGCTGATGGAGGATGGAGGCGGCGTGATGTCCGACCCGCTGCTGTCCTGCGGTGCCTCGAAGACGAGCAGCCGGAGGAGCAGCTTCAGCATGGACGAGGACCTCTGATGACGTCAGCATTCAGGGATCTGATAGGCTGAGCTGGAGACTGGACTCCGCCTTTTTTCATCTTCAGTACAACTATTTTAACTCATGACATCATCCAAACAGAGAATGCACAGAGTCGCCATGGTAACCACCACATGTCTTCCAGTGGACAGTTGGGTGTCCTGTAGAGTTGTCATGGCAACTGATAGGACATCACCGTGGTTACCACCGTGTGTCCCAAAGTGTTGCCGCTGTAATCCCTGTCTGCTCTGTCAGTGCGATGTCCCTAAGGCTGCTTTGTCTCACAGTGTCACCATGGTAACCCCTGCCACCGCGTTACCATGGTAACCACTGTGCGATGACTGCTGAGTTCTGCGTCATCTCCTTAGCATCCTTTCGGGAACAAGAAAGGGACGGAGCTGGAAACTGCAAAAGTCAACAAGCTGCTAGCTTGTTCATTAGCAGCCAATCAAAGTGTGAAATGAACTGATTTCTTTGGTTTCATCTGTCCGGCTGCTGAGACGCCGCAGGTGTGCTCTCACCTGGACGGCTCAGGCTGAAGCTGCAGGTGAGTCCAGGTCCTCTGAATAGGAAACACATGAATCTGTAATCACTGTGCTGGAAACAAAGAGAAAACCTGAAGGGAAACTGAAGCGGTTTCATCTCCACATGCTGTCAGCAGTGTTCGAACTGGTTTCATTCCACTGGTTCAGTTTGGTCTCGTTAAAGTCGTCACAGTCAACATTTTATTGTTTTTATTGGTGGAGACTTGAATCACATCACCAACCGCTAAGTTAGCTCACTGTTAGCCATCACCTACAAAGGGTAGTAATACAGCTGGATCTAATAGCTGGCTGGCTGTTAGCTGCAGCTGATAGCAGGCTAGCTTTTAGCTGCAGTTAATATCAGTCAAACTGTTAGCTGCAACTGATAGCAGGCTAAGTCGTAGCTGCTTTCAAAGGAGGCAAAGTTTAAGTGTTGTTTGGAGTTATTTTGTTAGCTCCAAGGTCCACATTCAGAGAAAACAGATGCATTGAGATGGGAGTGAAGGAAGACGTCTGTGTTCAACTGGAACAGAATCTCTGGACAGAGGAGGGTCTACAACACTTGTCAGTCCAGAGGGATCTTCCCATGTGGAGGGGCCGGGGATCGAACCACCAACCTTGTGATCAGTGGACAACCGGCTGTACCACCTGAGCCACAGCCGCCAACAGACTGTGTGAACTGTAACCTGTTGGGAGCTCAGAGCAAAGTTAGTTCACTGCTGTTATCAGTTCTTAGTTTGTAGCCAACTGTGAGGTGAGCTCGTCTAAAAAGGACCTGCTGACTGTTAGCCTCGCCCAGTGGTACAGGGAGCAAGGAGTGTGCAGTTTCTCTGAAATGATTTGACATTGTATCTCCTCAGAGTAATCAGATTCCTTTTAAATAGAACAGTAGACTGTTGTCTCTGATGTCGGCTTAAAATCTGCCAGTTTAGATTTACAATATTCAGGCTCCACAGCAGGAGCTAAACTGAACTGAGTCCATCTCTGGTTCCTTCAGTCTTGATCTGCTGACAGACTCAGTCCTCCTCAGCACGGAGGAGACCAGAGTCCACTAAGTTCTGCTCAC